TTTTGTGTGTTTAGTTTGTATGAAAACTTATAGCAAAGACCGTCCTTTATCAACCAATCGACAATAATAATAAAAAACAAAAAAATTCAGAATATAAACTTTTATATTAAATACATTGCACAAATAAGTGATAATAAAAAAAAAAGTTCGATTTGATTAAAAATTTATTGATCTTGATTAAAATAATGTAACTCGAATTGATAAGCCTTCCAAGTTTTTTTTCGACTGTTTTTCAAAGAAAGTATCATATTTAACAGAAATTATAATAGCACTAAAGATAAATAAAATATCGATAGACTTAATAATAACAATCCCCATCATTAAGGTTTGCAGACATTATTAATGTTAACAAAAAGCAGTAACGTATTACGTCACTACCTAAAATTTATACTGTATGACGTAAAAGTTAACAATCCAATGTTTGCATCTTTATAATATATATAATAATTATGCCGAAATTAAAACCTTATCTGAATCGGATAGTTAATCACTCGGCTAAATTTTAATCAGTTGTCACAGGAATAATGAAAATAGCTGTAATCTAAAGGTTAAATCGAAAAACAAATCGAGCTTGTACATGTGGTGACATCGTCATCAGGTTTTATATCGTATATATTATGGTCATAAACCACAGTCTGATCCAGTTTAGCCTAAAGACTAGTAGATAAACCAATTAACAGGTCTAGTTCTAAGTAGAGATTGGACTGGATAGGTACAACTCAAATCACCCGCAACGCAAGTAGGGCAATTTGAGTTGAAGTTATAGTAACTCAAGTACAATCTCTATTAATGACCAGTTTCAGTTATTATGAATTAGACCAATCATTAAAATTCAAAATAGTCTTAGGACCAGTCTGTGACTGGTCCAAAAAAGACTGAACTGAACGAACTGGACCAGACTGAACCGTTAATATCCCTACGGACCGGACCGGACCCTTAATTCATAAGTCGGTTTAAATAATCTCATAATTCAAATAGCAATGAAAGCGAATAGTTAGTATCTTATAGTCATTTCGCCAAAGTTGTCCGAGTTATTTCGTTTAAAAGGGCTAATGTAGATTAAACAAAGTTTCATGTTCTTTGCGCTACCTCAGGCACTGCTTTTGCAGCCTTAAAGCCACTTATATAAGATTGTTATTTCTGTTATCGAATATCGTTACTCAGAGCATTGAGATTATCAAGGATAGGATGGGCCGAAGCCAGTCTAATATTATAAGGCAGGTGATAGCGATAATCGAGAATACCCTTCGAATGTTCTTAAATACCTTTTCAAATACATTCGATGCCTACATTAGACATATTATATGTAATCATTTATTTATGTTTTTTTTTTTTTTAAAAAAAAAAAAGAAAGTGTGAAAAGAAAATTATCTAATTACAAACTAATTACAAATTCGCTTCAACATTATTTTTACTTTTGGCGGGCCTAATTCCAAAGGATAATAAACAAGCAATTCCGAACGCTCCAGCAATTCCATACCAAATCAAATGTGGCATATTTTCCATAACTAAAATACTATACATGGTATTATAAATTATCGGAGAAAATACAGAGGTAATAGACTCCAATACACTAAGTGCGCCTAATAACAGTCCCGTTTGTGATGGCGGGACTAAATTCAATTGGATAGATTTTAAAGCAGGGTGTGATATAATTCCTATAGCACCCACGCAAACTCCTGAGAAAAGAAAAATTCAAATTATTAATGAGTTTGTACGAAAAATACATAATTATAGTTATTAGGAGTAAGACCATATACCTGCAAAAAACAAAG